TAACCTTTAGCAGTAGAAAGGTTAACTTTAGCTAAAGCTTTAGCTAAAACTAACCTAGAAATCTTCAGCAAGTCAAAAACTGCAGGCTAAACTAAACAGTTTTAGACACTTTTTTTCTAACCTGGATCTGTATGATGCTACAGAAGCCACACCCACTTGCTGGGGCAGCCAATCAGAAGAAACGTCACTTAAAAGGAAGGGTTGGACTAAAGGAGAAGGGGCTTGTTTCTGACAGAGCATTAGTCGAGTGGCTGTAGTAAGGCCCAGGGTAAATAAATAAGGATGATTATAAACTGTGAATCATGCAAAGCTGCCCTCACACAGTAAAGGAATAAAAATATGGAGATAGAAATGCGTATATTGTGTCCCATTTAGGGAGGACAAAGCACTTTATTATTGTAGCTCCGCCCCTGCGACAGGGAAGGGGAGGAGCTACCAGTCAGTGCAAGGTGGATAGATCAGATAAAAAAAAAAGGCAAAGACTTTTGTTTTAATCCCAGACTCGATTGCTGTGATGTACTTTTATAATAAGCCACTATATTCCTCCACGTATCTGCAAACACCAGCTATAAGTGTATATGTGAAGAGCTTTTACTGTGAAAGGCACGTGCAGGAAGCACCCCTGCACTGAGCAGGTTGTGTTTCGCGTATTGATCGGACCCTCGTCATGTTATTCATCGCTTCTTCTTTTTCCCGGTTTCCGTCTACAGGTGCTGCGAGGCTCACCGGCTGTGTTACCAGCACGCTGCCCCCTGCAGGCAGGAGCTGCCGCTTGCCCCGTACAACTTCAGCTGTGCAGCAGCTGCAAACACCAGCTGTGGTGAGACTTACAGTTTATTTTGGGAAATGTGCTTGTTTGCTTTCACACTGGGAACCATCGCAAGACTTTCGCTGCCAACAAAAAACAAGTTTTACTCAAGGTGGAACCAAAATTGATCGTTTTCACACTCGGAGTTTGTACAAAGTGAAAAGAAGCGATACAAAAGTGACTCCTCCGTATACTGACCTGCTGCTCCGACAGACCCGACAGAGTAAATAAAGACTGTGGCACTAGTACAGTGTACCAATGTGGCTCTTTCTGTCTTGAAGATGCTGCTGATTTGTGCCAGCAGAGGTTCTGTGAATGTGACCGGGCCGCCATCGACTGCATGACTCAGAGCCCGTACAACTCATCGCTGAGAGGCCTCGCCGACACGTCCTGCTCAGCTACAAATCAAACAGGTGAGACGAAGCGAAGTCGTCTCCAGAGCCAACATCTGGTTTTTGGTTCCTTTGGATGTTTAGTCGCTTTACTCATGTTTTATAAGGAACATATATATTCAGCTTCCTTCAGCGTTCCTGAAACCACTGCGTCTTTCTGTACATCTGCATTACAAGCAAGAAAATAAATCTGTCTCTCTTTAATGGCACCAGTTTGGCAAAATGGGACCAAATCCATGATGCGTGCCGTGGAGGACGAGGAGGAGAGTGGATCAAAATCGCTGATCAATACAGGTAATATAAAAATAACTCCAAAGACATAAATCGTGTGCAAACGGGTCTTCAGTGCAATAAAATACTGAACACGCTGTCGGTGAAGCCTCAGTTTGTAAAAGGAGAGAAAAGAAGAATCGACGTCCTGCAAACTCGCTGTGGAAACAGTTTGAGCCACTTAAAGTAAATCGAGGTGTCGCAGACAGTTTTCAGTCACCAGGCGAGCAAAGAGAAACACGGACGCATCCAATTAAGTCTGGTGTTCTTTTGGCAGCAGCTCCTCTGCACACCCACACAGTCAGACCCAGACTCACAGTCCGGCTTTTTGACTCGTTTCCAGCTGAGTTATTTTTACATTTAAAAGCTGGTTTAGGTTTGTGTTTAACACTTTTCTTTGGACGTAACCTCACACCTTTTTTATTATTATTATTTTAAATTTCAGACAGTTCTTTAACATGCATCAAACTTCCAGACTTGGTTTAAAATCGGCTCGATCTGAATCCTAAAACTGCAGTCGGAGATGGTCGTAACACGACAGCAGTGAAGCTCTGTGCTTCAGTGCGCCTTCACATGAATCCTGATATGAAATGGTGAAGTCATAAAACAGCCTGACTGTAAAAAAAACAACTGTTGCACGTAAAAATAACAGTAAAATAAATATTTTAATTCTGAGTGAGCTCTCGTCTCGCTGCTGCTGTTTATTTCCTGTTTCCCCTTCACATTATATCTGAGAGACTTTAACATCAAAGCTTCCTGAGTCATTGCCCAATAACAGAGATCTGTGATGGCAGCAGTGTTGGTCAAGTTACCTGAAAATAGTCATTAGTTGCTAATTACTTCTCCAAGAAAGTAATCCTGTTACTTTACTGATTACTTATTTTCAAAAGTAATTAGTTACTTTAAAAAACAAACAAACATGATGCACAACCTGAATACGTAATAAAGCAACAGACCTTTCAGTTCTATTTTGTCTGTATAATCCATCATATAAAATGTAATCAAGTGAAAAAGTCTTTTTATAAATTGTTTTATTAGTTTTAATCTTTTAACTTCATGCATCAAGCAAAACTTAAATTATATGCGAAGGTCTTTGACTTGAAGACATTTGTTTTACATTGAAACCTATTTTCTGCACATTCCAGCACATAAAATAAAATGTTGTGTGTTTACACTCTTTCAAATACATGCAAGTAAAACACAGCTATAAATAAATTAAATGAGTCCTGTTGCTCTTAAATCTATTTTCACCTGTTCAGCAGGAGTGGGGCTGGTGGAGGTTTGCCCACAGCGGTCATGTCAGTGGGGGGATCTGTGAGTGTCACATTCCCGTGGCAGCATGCTCGCTGTTGCTCAGATTTGAAGTTGAATTTTTCTCTGTAGAAAGAAGTTTTCTTCCCACACAAACAGCGGACACTAATGTTTTTGTCACTTTTTACAGACTCAAACTCAAAGTAATCTGATTACTTCCACGCTTTAAAGGCTGCATGGTCGCACTCTCTCCTGCACTCCATATGATCCATTGTTGATCTGCACACAACTGTTGAGACACTCTCACAAACAAAATCACGGTTTAGTAACATAGTAACAAAGCGTGCTTACAGGAAAGTAACAGTAATCTAATTACTTTTTTTGCAATAGTAATCCCTTACTTTACCCGTTAGTGAAAAGAGTAATCAGATTACAGTAACGTGTTACTATCTCTGTGACATTCACGTAGGCCTTCTTGTTGTTTCTGCCTTTTCTGTTTCTGATCTTTGATACAATTTAAGGTAAAATTGTTGTTTTTTACATCTTGTTTACAAACATTCTGGTTTTACTGGTTTTATTTGCTAAGACGTGGTTATGTGCTTGGTTTCAGATGGTTACTTTGTTTTCAGAAACGTCCAGGCTTAGGTGGCACAGCTTCCTTTAGACTGATTTCTTCCTTTCCGACAGATTTTTAATTTGGTCTCAGAACATCTTGGAGGACTTTTCCACTCCGTCTGTGGATCTTTGGTCTCAGTGTTTCTGTCTCTTGACGTAAAGCCGGATGAATCGTTGATGCTGCGAGGAAAAAAACTTCTGCTCTCTTTCAAGATCTTTCTTCATGACTCTTGCTGTACGTTCGGCCTCGCTGTCCTTCTGAGCGAGGCTGATTTAATCAAGTTTAGCAGTGAGCTCATTAGTCCCGCCTTCTCTCCGGTGTGTCTGACAGAGCTCGCGGCTGACAGCGGTCTGAGTTTCTCATTAGTTCGACCGTGTGTTTCAGATCTGCTCGGCGGCGTCGAGGACACGGGCGAAGTCTTCAGAGCAGCAGGTAAGTCTGTGTGAAACTCCGAGGGCGCCTGAGACGGCGATGTCACATCGCAGGAAGCGATTGATTGGGCAGAAACGCGGACGGCTGAGTCACACCTCAGCCAATTAAAACAAGGACCTCTGGATGTTTAAGCTGCAGCTTCCTGCCCACATCCAGCTAAAAGAGAAAGAAACCAGTGATTGTTCAGACCTCCTTTCATCCGTTTGTCCAGATAGAGATGTCACATGGAGCTGAGCTGCTCGCCGCCTCAGAATCAGGAGAAGTGAAGTGAAGGATGTTATTAAAGCAGAAAAGTTCAGAGGGAGGTTTTTAAACCTGAGGACGGCCGTCTGTCTGAAACTGAACCCACTCTGTTTAAATTATCTGTTACTTTGATGTCAGGAGCAGATTGAACTGTAGATCTGAACAGGATCAGCAGCACGTCGAGGTCCACACGTTACACATATTCACATCTGTAAAGCAGTGCTTACATCCCTGGACTAAGTTTCTGATCACAAAGGAGATAAAAGAGAATATTGGGCTCACGTTGATCCTGCCGACACAAATCCAAACTGAGATATGAAGCATTAATGTGTTTCCTTCTCTCTGCTTTGTTCGAGTGTATATTTGTGTGGCGAGGCTGAACTTCTCCTGTTTCTCTGCAGATGTTCTCCCAGCAGAAAACACCTCAGAAAGCTTTAATTTCTCCAGCTCGTCCTTCCTGCCAGCAGGTAAAACTCCTGTTTTTATGCTTCGCTTTACTTTCTACAACTCTGCAGAGTCTCCAGAGCAGAACAAAGTGAAGTTTCAGGTTTTGGAGAGTTTTAAGATGATCGGAGTGCTCATAAAATGGACCTCCCTCCTCTTCCTTTAAGAATTAATGGAGTGGAAACAGATTTAACAATGTAGTCTGATGGTAGCTTTTACTCACTGCCATTTAAAGGTCAGACGTCTACAATCAGAAGCTCCTAATGAAGCTTGTTTTGGTCTTTAACCAAGAGGAAAACAACAATTTTGATCATGAAATCAGATGTGTGAGAACTAATCGCTTAGAGTGAAGCTTAGCAGGCAGCTAGCAGCTACATGCACCCATCAATCTGTTGTTCTGAGACACAGAAAACATTCAGCCTTGATAGTCTTCATTTCAGTGATGGCGCCAGCCTTCGTTGCCTTTTGATGTCCACACTTTTAAAGGCTCAGTGTGAGCATTTCATTCAATAAATAAAGAAAAATGAGACTCACACATTAAACAAAGCCAGAAAACATCTCCCTGCATCTCAGACAGGTGAATGATGAATGAACTGTGACTGTCTCCTCAGCAGGGATGGACCCACCAACAACAGGCAGGGTGGATAACCAGAGTGACACCGAGGCGATGGAGTACAACCTCAGCACTCCAGCGCCGCTGATGCCTGCTGGTATGACCTCTAATTGGCCCTCGAGCCGCAGGTTTAACTCGGCACCATCTGCGTGTTATCCTAATACTTCTCATCTTTCCAGACGAGCTTGAGGAAGGCGCAGAGGTGGAAGAGGCAGAGATGACACACCTGAGTTATATCTCTAAAGGTAACGGTTACCTCGGTTACCTCACCGTCTCCCCTCCATCCTCTCTCTAGTACTTTTCTAGCAAATTACATTTGCTAGAAGCTGACCGGCGGACAGCTTCCAAAGCAGCAGAAATAATTTCCCCGCTGCTCGACTCCTGCTGCTCGATGACTCACTTGGCTCAGACGTTTCCTGCTTTTACAGATCTGAATGAGAGCGCCGCAGAGGAAGCACTCGAGCAGGAAGAGATAAATGGGGATCAGATGACCCACAATCCTCCAGCAATCAGCCGGGGTGAGCCAGAAACACTCGGCGTCTCGATCACGACTGATAAATACAAACGTCCGCCTCGGGCTTAATATAAAGCAGCTCTTTTTATTTCAATGATGCGATGTGCTTTATATGATCCCATAACTGAGCAGTGATTCATCCGGCGTCTAATTCATGAAAGATTTTCTAAATGAGGAGCGTGTCCTCGTCTGTGGACAGAAGAAAAAAGAAAGGAAACTTTCTTGGGTGCAAGTTGGAGCCAGAAAACCTTCGTTAAAGCTTTTTATGTGCAGAGATATTATTAATCATAATCTCACTTTGGAGCACCACAAAAGAGAAACTTTCAACTTCATCCAGTCAAACTTTAAATGGATATTAGTGTCTCTGACTCGGTTTGTGTGCAACAAAACTAAAGTATTTATGCAAAGTGCAGTTACAATACAGATCACTAATAATCATAAAGGCATAACTGATTAAAAGTGGCTGATTTCCCCCCTCAAGGCCACCTGTGGGCGGCTTCCAGCCCCACAGCCCGCAGGGAGGTCTAAAACCTGATTAAACACCAGCGTCTTATTTTTCACAAGTGTGTTTGTTCCAACTGGGTCTCTGATGAAGTTTCCCCACAACCAAGTTTAAAAGAAGTTTTTTAGCTGCTTTTAAACCACTGATTTCAAGAAAAGCCTGCAGACTGATGCAAACCCTCCTGTTTTAGTTCCCAGCCTCATACGCTGTACAGCCAGTAGGCCCTGATCACATGACCTCAGGGACCTGCTGGCGTACGCTGGTGATAAATGTCGAAATCAGAAACTTAAAGTGGACTCTAAAGGTACTGGAACTTTTTGTTTGAAAGGTGAGTCAAAAATTAAGATTAAATGTTCTTTTTTCAGGAAATTAAGATTCCTAAAAGAAGATTCAGCGAATGTAGCAAGAAGACACTGTTTCTGTTTTCTCTTCACAAGTGGGGGAAATGACCGAACCCTCTATTTTAATAGAGTCTCAGCAAAATCTGCAGGTTAGAAAACCTTCTGGGGTTTAAAAGAAACATAGAGCTGAACCTCATCTGCATAGCAGTGACAAGAAATGTCCTTAAAAGTGTCAAAATGTGCAGAAGAGGGAGCAGAAACAACAGAATAGAAACTGAAAAGGCACCAAAACGGAACCTTGTGGCACACCGAAGGCAAGAGAAGTGAGAGAGGACTTCAAAAATACAGACAGAGTATCTGTGATGTGATGCCGTTATAATTTTATCTCTTGCAGATTCAGGTTTGCGCGTTCATGGCGAAGAGACGCCAACTGAAGCAGAATCCGAGCTGACCTCTTCACTGAGCTCCGCCGCTGAAAACACACGGGTGAATCAAACGGGAGCATCAGCGTCGCTCGATCACATTTTACCATCGACTCCTCCGAGAACTACAACTCCCAGAGAGCTGACATCAGCAGCTGTGGAAGAATCAGCCGAGACAGGTGATGAAGAAATATTTATCCTTTTATGATGTGTTGATTTTTTTTTATCTCAAATTATAGATGATGCAAAAAGCATTAAAAGGACAGGGGTGTGGTCAAAGCAGGGTCACCCCCACCCCCCATAGAGTTGAAGATTAGATTGTCCATATGAGAAAGTTACAATGAAGCCAAACCAAAGATTGTTCCAAACATTTGTATCTTTAATTATTTGAAGAGCTTTAGTTGTTTGTCCATGACACTGCCCTCTGGTGGCGGTACACGTGTACAACAGTCTGCAGAGCTCCTCGTAGGCCCGGTGCACAGCCATGATGACCCTTCATAACATGTTTATGGAGACAGGAGATTCAATCACAATGAAAAAATCAGCACAGCATGATGAATTTTTAACCAGCTGTCAAGTAGTTTGGTTTATTTATGTAGTTTTATTTTTCTGAATTCCTGTGACTGTGGATTGTTTGGGTATTTTTCTTTGTAGGATGTTACTGGCTGGATTGAGATCGTTATATTTTGCTTGTGTGAGACTCTCTTAGCACCAGAAGTCAAATAAAGCACTGAAATGAAGCTCTTTTGCCTCCTTATTAACAGGTTTAATCTTAGCCTCAATAACAACCACCACGAGTCCCTCTGAGTCATCTGAGGAGGAAGGAAATGGGAAAGAGGAGGAGGACGATGAAGAGGAGCAGGAGTCTGGTGAGCACTGTGAGTTCATACTGTATGACGGGAACTAAAGAATAAATCAGGCCTTTGTGAGTCCCAAAAGACTTCCGTTGGACTCATTGGGAAGTTTGAATATTCATGTTTCTTTTCTTCATCCTCAGTCTTTGATGTGCTCAAAACGACAACAATGACAACGGCAACAACACCGTCAGCCCCAAGGAAAACTCCTCACACAGGTCAGTTTGTCACAGGGGGACAGAAATATCAGCTTTATCTATAAAGAGCCACTGCCAACAATTATCAGACTATGAGACAGTCAGTCATCTATGAGCAGCATTTGGCTGCAGTGGGGAGAAAGAGCTTCCTTTTAACAGGAAGAGCCCTGTGGTACCCGTACAGCCCTCTGTGCAGTTAGGAGGAATTCAACTGTTTAAACCAAAACTGTTTTCTGTATCAAGCTGTGAACATCTTTATTTCTTATTGTGAACATGGGAGTCTATGGAGACTGATTCACTGTTGGAGCCTCAAGTGGCCACTAGAGGAACTGCAGTTTTTGACATTTGCTTCATTTTTAGCTGCTTCGTTCTAAACTGCATATTTTTCCTTTGAGCTATTCTGCAGCTTCCCTTATGAAGTTATATCAACTGTTTCATGCATGGTCTATAAAAATGGTACGTACAATTTTGTCATAATATTAACCCTTTAAAACCGGTCAGAGCAGCACGCTCTGTTTTGCGTAACTATTTTTAAATCCCGGTAGCCCTGCAACCACGTAAGCTAGGGCAATATTTTTTTTGCATATGAAACCGGAGGAGTTGTACTTACATCTTATGCCATCAGCTTGTCCTCGGTCACAGTTTCCTTCCACATATAGTTTTGCAAAAACTGCATAAAAAGCACTTGCAGCAACAAAAACATAATATTCCAGAAACACGCTTTGCCGATCCGATCAGCTGTTCATAACACTTCCTACGTTGGAATAGACGTCAGCGCGAACTATTGCATGTCCGCCATTACCTGCCCGAAACCGGAAGTGACGTCATTTTCGCGGAAATGTAGTTTTTTTTTACCATATAGCCTCGTGAGCCTATACTGGTGTTTTTAAAAGTTATCTTTGACTTTATGACTTTCTGTGTCGTTTCTGTGATGCTTAGGACTCATATTGCACTGCTGGAAATAGTTTATTTTGATGCATATGCTGCTTTTTTGCAAATTTGCAGTATAATATTTATTTTCGTTTTTCCTGCAGTATATAAAAATTGGTGTATTTCAAAAATAAAACTATGAAGACACTCAAAATAAATTTCCTGTGGTGGGAAACTATTTTGTGCAACTTTTTTGTATTTACAGTTTTGAGGGATAAGCCTCTTAAATTTCTCTAACTAGAAATATATGTTAAAAAAACAAAAACGATTTTCAATTTTTTTGTAGTTTATTGAACTTTCTTGCAATTTATGTAATTACTATGCACTTAATGCAGACATATTATTAAAATTTGGGCTATAATGGTTGTATTGATGTATAGCAACTTGAAATGCTCCCAAAAATGGCTCCACAGCATGTAAAAATATAATATAAGCTCTGGCGGACTTGGTTCTATGGTCTTAAAGGGTTAAACTTTGACCCTCTCGCTATAAGGATGGCCAGGAAGGATATTCTGTCCTGCGTATTGCGGCGTATAACAGGATGGAGTAGTACCTCCTGGTATTTGACCAACTATGACATATGTATGCTGAAAAATGCAGCCTAAGCAAAAATACCAAAAGCTGCAGTTCCTCTAATGTCCACTTGAGGCAGGCTCCAAAATTGTGTCAGTTGCTGTAGACTGACATATACAGCAGAAATAAACATATTAACACGCTGCTGCAGAAATGGTTTTGGTCTCTATGAATGGTTTAAACCATTGCACATGTACAGGGAAGGTGAAAGTTTACAGTTTATGCTTATCAATCGAGCTAGTTAGCTTTAGCTGTTGACATTAGCAACCACCATCGTATTCAATTATGGTGACTTGTTATGAAAATCTGCAGTTTTTCAGAATGCTAACAGTGAGGCATAAAAATGCAGAGTCCAGAAATCAGTAAGCGATGTCACAGTGGCTGCTTCCATCTTTTAAATACAGTTTCTTTTCATGTGATAAAATGAGTCTGTGCGACTCCTTTGTGGGTTTTTAAGTTGTACAACACAGAGGAGGAAGGTGTGACTCTAATAGACGCAGGCACTTCACCGGGAGTCTTTGTCCTTCAAATAAAAGAGACGTGATTCGGATTTAGACTCTTTCCTCGCCGCTGCTTCACAAACACACCGAGAGCTGCCAAATGGTTTGATCGAGTGTCACAACCCCGCTGCCGGGTAAAAAACATGTAACTATTGAAGTGGTTATTTTCCTCTCCTCGGCGTCTGCAATTACGCAGCGAGGCTTTGACATGTGTCTGAGGGGCCTCGCTCGCTCAGAAATCACCGGGTATATTTTTAATTCCAAGAAGAAGAAGAAAAAAGACCAATTGCAGCTCTTTTCTTTAATGCCGGCGTTAATCAAGTGGATTGCATTAACGTCTCACTTCTGACAGCCTTTGTGTTGCGCTCTCTTCAGAAGGTGGAGGAGGTGTCAGCTTCACATTAACACCAGCACCACCTCCAGCTTCACAGGAGAGAGGGGAGGGAGGTGTCCGAGCCCCGCTGAAGGTCAGCTTGCTTTTCTTTAGCAACAAGCAGGCGTTTCATTATGGAAACTTTCAGAGGAGGAAAAATCTGACCTTAATGTACAGCGAAACATTCAAGGATGTTTGCTCTTTGGCTTTCTGCTCTTCAGAGCTGCCGATTTTCTTAGTTTGGCTGTTTCCACGTTTCTAGTCCTCATTCCTGGTGAAACTTCCCCAGTTTCCAGCAATTTTTCTCAAACATCAGCCTCCTACTGACAAACATGTACGTTCTTTACAATTTCAGGAGAACTAGCGAGATGGGAAACAGCCAGTGTGGTTTAGTCGAGGTGCAATTTGTGGGGAAAAGAATCAGCGTGGAGGGTTTTCATGTTTTAGAGACATTTGTGGGCCTGTAGACTTTGAAGCCTGGTGTCTTATTACTGCTGCCACTGTAACAATTACAGAATAATTTAATTTCAACCTGACAAAGTAAATGTAAAAGCACTTTTTAGGTATTTTAAAAGCTACAAGAAGCGAACAGAATATAAAAAAAACCCCAAACAGCAGGACTTTATGTCCAAAACGTTTGCGTCCTTCGTTAAAGAGATGTCAGCTGAAGCGGAACTAAAGCTGGGCTGTACTTTAGTGTAATACCAGTGTGAACCACAAGATGGTGCAAAGTGTCTGGTGAAGACAGAGGCAGGGATAAAAACATTAGTCCACGCACAAAAACACTGAGACACATCGAATCATCTTTAAAACGCTGCCCTCTGGTGGCGAAAGGTTTACCTTCCACAGAAGATCATTAAAATAAGCGCAACACGTTCTCACTCCCAAAGCGTAACATTTTACGCTAGGTGACAAATCGTCAACATATTACGTTTTCGCCTACCCACCACGTTCCTAAATGACGACCTCGGGAAAATGAGGAAATATGAGAACCGTATGGACTCAATCTACACATGTTCGCCCTTTTTCTTCAAATCGCTTAGAAACACGCTATTTAACATCATTACAGTCCTGGTTAAGATCAGGAAAAAGGTTATGGTTAGGGCTAGGGATAAGGTTAGGTTTAGGGCTGGAATACAGGGCTGGAACGTCTATTACCGCGGGAGCGTCATTGCACTGGATTTCAGCCATAACCCGCCGCGTACCATAAGAACGCCGAAGGTCTCCTTTTGCGTTCCTCAGGAACGCCGCGGGACGTGACAAAACGTCGGCATGTTACGCCTCGGGAGTGAGAACGGGCTGATAAGCGACACTGATGATTGCATTTGCAAAAATATTTAAGTTTTGGCACAAAAGTTTGTCCTTTGCTCGTGCAGACAAACATAAACGATGTTATTTTAACATGCCAGAAGTGCTCGGCCCAGCCGCAGGTGCAGTTGAACTTTAATATCAGAATATTCACAATGTAGCAACACAGCAAGCTGTCAGCATACACATCAGTGTATATCACAGCGAGCAGCGAGCTCCCTGCAGCTTCCCAAAAAATCCTCCTGTTATTAGACTGAAAGTGAACACAGCGATTATTGAGACAGCAGCAGAGGCCAGCTGACCCGTCACCAGCCTATTCATGCACAGCCTTTAAAGCGACTCATTGAAGGAAAAAAAGCTCCGGCTCCCCCCCACAGTGTACTCTTTGTTGTGCAGCTATCTTTTTCCACGCTGCATCACCCACTGAGCGACAAACTTTCTGGCTTTTAATGTGTATAAAACTGTCACCTAGTTTAATATTGTAAGGTACAGACCTGAAAACATCATGGAAATAAACCTGATAACTCAACAATGAGCAGCACTTGGTGTCAAAAATAAAAAAGTCTGTGGCAGAACGAGGCACAGATCAGATCACTGAGTACAGAGAACATAAAAGCTGTAATTACTCACCAACTTTGTCAACTTTGCCCCAAAACAAAGTTCAAAATCAGTGTTTCCTGCATGTTTCACAACATTACGGCTTCATTAATCACGTTGCTTCATGTTGCAGGCTAAATAACCAAAAACAAAGTCAAAGCTACATTTTTACTACGATAACAAACAGAGCGCTACGCCTGCCACGGACCTTCGTGCACACGTGTCAGCGCCACAGCGTGGTTGCTTTCTTGTTGCAGCTGCTGTGCAGGTCCAGGTGATCTCTCTCCTCAGTAAGAGAACAAAGCATTACAGTAAAAAAATTAAAGAATAAATAAAAATAAAATTAAAAGAATTTCATGTGAAGGCTCAGACCTCAGCCTCTGCTGGAGTTTGAAGCAGGAGTCGATGTTCGAGGGCTGATTAGGGAGCGACTCCTCACTCTCACCTGCTTCCCAGGCCCACAGATCACAACCAGAGTCACAACACAGGCCTCAACCAGCAGCTCGCTCCCACAAACCAAACCAGCGAGAACCACCACCCCTCCCGACGATTCATCAGAGGAAGATGCCACACCTCCTCTTCCTCTTCCTCCTGCTGCTGCTTTCAGTCTTCAGAGTCGAGGTGAGAAAGGCCCAGCTCGCCCCGCCCCGATGAGGATGAATTAGCATTTAAGCCGACCTGTGGGTGTGAGAATTTAATGACATGTTTGCACCGTCTTTGAAATTTGCATCTGTGTCATGAAATGTCAGGATCACTTCAATCTGCAGGAGTCTGCTTGAGCCGGCTCATCGGTGATGTGTGAGGAATATTTAAATGAAGCGAGGGGAGCCACAGAGCCTCCGGGGTGATCTTCACAGCACGTTTTCTTTTTGTTCTGTTGCTTCAACACAAAAATAGTTTTTGTTTGTTTTTAGATTTACAGCTTTGAAAGTTTTGCTTTCATCCCAGAACAGCGGGCGGTCCACTGAAGAAGATTTCCAAGTTTCCCGTTAAAGACGGATTCTGTGGTGGATTCAGACTGACAGCTTCCAGTTTAGCTAGAAGTGTTTAACTTTATCCATCAGGGTAAAGTTTAGACTTATTTATTCTAAAGTAAGCCTCCACCTTTAACCTCTTAGACTCATTTACTGGACTCTTTGCGTTACATTACAAACTGTGACACCATGGGTGCAGTGGGTAGCTGGATGGCTGACGTTACAGGAGGGATCTAAGGCTTGTTTGAGTAATTCAGATTCCTGCCGCCACTACAGGAGATGGACTTCAGTTTGTGTGGCTTTAAACAATCTGATATACGAGATCAGAAAGTGAAAAACCTCAGCTGTCTGTGTTGTTTACCATCTTCTCAGTGAGTCCAGGGCAATGCAAGTTTCACTGTACGCCATTAAATCATTTTCCAGGGTAAAACTGATGAGCTGAACCTGAACTGGTGCCAACTTTGTCGTCTTCCCCAAAATAATAAAAAACAATAGAAGGATTTTTGATTCAATTCAATGTTATTTATATAGAGCCAAATCACAATAACAGTCACCCCAAGGCAAGCACTTTGGCGACCAGAGATGGGCAGTAACGCGTTACTGTAATC